CAGAATCTGGGAGAGAGAGTTAAGATTTGATTTTTCTCTGTAGCTGGTAATGTTTTAAGAAGTTAGAATCAGTATTTGGGTGATGGGTACACTAGAATCCCAGTCCCCACCATGAGGCAACATACCCATGTAACAAGCAAGCACATGTACCCTTGAAACTTAAAAAAAATTTAAAAAGATTAGCGTATATGTTTTGTTTTCTCTCCAGTGGTTCACTAATGCCTATAGTATGTGCTAGAGGGTAGGAAGAAAGGAACTAGACAGCTCTATCTTCCTTCCCTATTTCACTGTCATTATGGAAGCTACTACCTATCAAGCCTCCTGAAAACCTGATGAAATTGTCACTCAAGCCTCATAGATCATGTTATCTGCAGATAAAGACAGTTTTAATTATTCCTTTTTGAAATGGATGCTTTTTATTTATTGCCTCAAGTACTGGTTGAAACCTCTAGTGTAACATTGAATAGTTGTGGTAAGGGTAGACATTCTTGTCTTGTTCCTGATCTTTGGAAGAAAGCATTTAGTCTCTGACCAGTTAAGTGAGTTTTTCACCAATTAAGAATGATCTTGGATGTAGGTTTTTTGTAGATGTTCTTTATTGGCCAAGGAAGTTTCCTTGTTATCCTAGTTTGCTAAATTTTTATGAGAAATGGCTGTTGGGTTTTGACTGATGCTTTTTCATCTATTGAGATGATCAATCATATGGTTTTCTTTTTTAGTTTGTTAAAATTATGAATTTTATTGACTGGCTAGTCAAATATTAAATTAACCATATATTCTTGGAATAAACCCCACTAGGTCATGGTATAGTATCCTTTTTACATAATGTTGGAGTCAATTGGCTAAAATTTTGTTGAGAATTTTTCCATCTGTGTTCATGAGGAATATTGACCTGTAGTGTTCTGTTCTTGTAACATTTTTGTCTTGTTCAGAGTAAAGCTGAACTCATAGAATGAATTAAAATATCTTCCTATCTTGTCCATTTTCAGGAAGAGTGGATAGAATAAGGCTTATTTCTTTCTTAAATGTTTGTTAGAATTTACCAGTGATGCAGTGGCACAACTCATCACAGCCTGGGCTCAGGTGATCCTCCCACCTCAGCCTCCCAAGTAGCTGGAACTACAGGTACACACCACCATGCCCGACTGATATTTTAATTTTTAATTTTTTTGGTAAAGATGAGGTTTTGCTGTGTTGCTCAGGCTGGTCTTGAACTCCTGAACTCAAGCAGTCCTCCCACCTCAGCCTCCCAAAATACTGGGCATACAGGCATGGGTCACTGCAGCTGGCCCCTGATCACTCTTAATAGGAGTTTATCAATTGTATGAATCTTGAAGAATCAACTTTGATTTCTTTATTTTTTTTCTGTTTCTATGATTTCTACTCTGATCTTTATTCTATCCTCCAGGTTATTTTGGGTTTTTTTGTTTTTGTTTTTGTTTTGAGTTGGAGGCCCCAGGCTGGAGTGCAGTGATACACTCATGGCTACTACAGCCTCAATCTGCTGGGCTCTGGTGATCCTTCTACTTCAGCCTTCCAAGTAACTGGAACTACAGACACGTGCCACCACATCCAGCTAAATTTTTTTTTTTTACTATATTTATTGTAGAGAGGAGGTCTTGCCAAGTTGCCCAGGTTGGTCTCGAACCCCTGGACTCAGGCGATTGCCTTCCAAAGTGTGTGAACCACCATGCCCTGCCTATTTTGGATTTAATTTACTTTGTTTTTCCTAGTTTCTTTTGGTAGAAATACAAAAGATTTGAATGGAAACCTTTCTACTTTTCCAATGTAGGCATTTAATGCTATAAGTTTCTCCATAAGTACTGCTTTGTTGAGGCCCTGCAGACAAGAATTTTTTCTGTCAGTCTCACAAAGCCTTTCCAATATTGTCATTTGTTTTGTCAGCTAAAATAAGAATTATAATGGAAATGTCTAAAGGGACAAAAAGGAAAATTTAAACTCATAACTCCATGCATTTAAACTCATAACTCATATGCATTTTGCACTCTTGTACTAAGTGCAAGGGAGGAGGTAGTGTTTTGATTCAGGGAAAAATCTTTGACAAAGGCACTTATGCGTTAATTATTGCAGTTATTTATTTGCTTTGTCTCACTGTAAAGACCCTGTTTAGTTAATTCTGTCTAGTTAATAATGGAAAGGAAATGTTAATAATGGAAGGAAAACCAATTTTATTAGAACTGTTTACGCAGTGTCCTTCTTTGCCTTAAAAGCCTTGCATTTTTGCAGTGTGAATAAAGACTAAGGTGGTATGCAGTTGACCCTTACTATTTAAGTTTAGTTTTGAATATAACATATATTATGGTAAATCATGTCTTTAATCATTCATATCTTAATCATTATGTGGAAATCTGCCTTAACTCAATTTTGGATAGTCTTTTAGATCCAGTATAAGTCAATATCAGGGATTCACAGATGTAACAGTTAACCTTTATTAAACATTTTACCATATGTCAGGGCGCTATGATAAGCACTTTGCATAGGTTATCTTATCTAATGAAACAATAAAACCCTTTGAAGAAGAGTTATTTTTATTCCCATTTTACAGATGAGGAAACTGAAATTTAGAAAGTCCTAGTCTATGTACCCATAACAAAATGGTAAAGTTGGATCACTAACCAACTTCAGTGATTTTAAGCACATTATACACCTTCTGTATCCCTCTGCAGATATCATGTTGACTTGAAAAACAACCCACTAAGTGTTATTGCTTTTAATTACTGAAGTAGTCTTAATAGAGAAAGTTCATTTTATCATCTGATATTTCAGAGTAGGAAAATGTTTTCTGATGAAATTCTTGGTCCTCCAAAGAGACGATATATTTGAAATATAAATTTGGGCTGTAACTTGGGAACACTGTAATTTATTAATAGCTCCCTTGCTTAAAGCTTCACTGCCCTCACAGATTGCTATGGTAGACAAATGATATCACTCCTTTCTTAGAATGCTTAAGAATAAGTAAGTTCAATATTTGTGTGTACCCATTATATACATAGATAATACTTATAAATAATAGCTAATCATATTTCTGTTGTTAGCTAATATCTTATTTAAGTACTTTATATGGATTTAATATCTTATTTAAGTACTTTACCTAACAACTCCATGAGATGTAGGTACTCTCATCTCTGTTTTACAGGTAAGAAAGCCCATACAGATTGAGGGTAAGTAACTTGCCGCAGGTCTAATGGTGATAGAAATCATGTTCTTAATCCCTACATCATACTGTAGGAAAATATAAAGAAGAAAACATAAAATTTACTCTCAAAGAATTTGCATTCTGTTAGGAAAGAAAACATATGCACATGAAAAGTTGCAAGGGCACTATATGTTTAAATACTAACTGATTTCTGTGAGTTTTAAGTGAAGAAGCACTCACTAGAACTGTGGAAGATTCCATAGACAAGGTAAATCTTGAGTCTGATTGGAACTTGGAGAACCTATAGTATTTAAATTAATGGAAAGGAAGAAGTGAGCAGGCATAGTGAAAAGTGGGAGGGGAAATTTAGAGTACATGTTTGAAAGAATAGCTGATAATGGCTATAAAATGATATGGCCCTGAACATCTGGATTCAGAGAATGACTTGATGAGATGACCAAACTGCATTAATTGAATAATACTATTGTTGAGAAAATAAACTCTTTTCAGCATTTTGCTGCTCAGTAAAATCTTAACTCTCCTCAGAGGGAAGGGGTAAATGTTAAATTAGAAGCATCATGGTAGTTTAGAAAGAGAATGGGTTTAGAGCTCTACTCTTGCTAACAGAACCACATTAAAAAGTTATTTAACGTTTCTCAGCTTTAGACTTTTGTTATATTCAGTGGAGGTTTTGTCTTCTTGGGGTGGTTTGAATATTAGAGGTAATGCATGTAATACAGTGCTGAACATGTTGTAGTTGGTCAGTAGAGAGGGTAGTTGTTATTGTTAGTCTGTTAATCTTCAATAAATGGAAACTACTTTTTGAGGCTGGGCTTGGTGTGGTTCATGCCTGTAATCCCAGAATTTTAGGAGGTTGAGGTTGAGAAGATTGCTTGAGCCCAGGAGTTCAAGAGCCGCCTGGGCAACCTAGTGATCGTGTCTGTATCAAATTAAAAATTAAAAAAATTAGCCACACGTGCTGGTATGCACCTTTAGTCCTAGCTACTTGGGAGGCTCAGGCAGAAGGGTCACTTGAGCCCAGGAGATTCAGGCTGCAGTGAGCTGTGGTTGTTCCACTGCACTTCTGTCTGGGCAAAGAGTGTAGCCCCTACTCAAACAGAAAAAAAAACCCTACTTTTTGAGACTTAGGTTCATTTTCTGACTCTACACACTCTGCCATCACCAAGATTGCTGTAGTCTTCTGGTAAATGTGTAGCCCTACATTCTTTTTTCTATATAGCACTTACATTTTGAGATTATGTGTTATGTGATTATTTTATTAATATCTTGCCCCCGCCCCCCACTCAAATGGTAAGCTCCATGCAGCTGGAGTCATGTCTCATTTTGCTCACCATTTTCTCCCCACTGCCTAGGCCAGCGTCATACCATGGAGCTTTAGGAAAGATTGAGTGAATGAAATAAATTCTTAATAGCTAATACTGAATTAGCTGCCTACATCAAAATAAGGATGCTTTCTTTGAAGAATTAAAATACATGTCATATGAACCATGTAAAATCTTTGTTCTTGAACTTGCCAGTCCTTTGTGGTCACATTATGCTGATTGAACACCTTAGAAATGGAACACAGTAATATCTCATTACATTTGTCAGTATTGTGTATCGTTTTCAGTATTAATCTTGACCTGAATTACTACCATATTGTATGTTAACTTTTATACAGAATTTCATTTCAAGTTTTTGGTTATTTTACTTCACTTTGTGAAGTGTAATTATTTCATGAAACTCTTATGGCTTTAATAAAGTTAAAATTTCAGGTGCTTCGTGTCCCTTCTTCAGTCTTCCATCATTATAAATATCATTTTCACTTGGCTTCTCTTATAAGGGAGAAGATGTCAACCGGACACTAGAAGGTGGAAGGAAGCCTCTTCATTATGCAGCAGATTGTGGGCAGCTTGAAATCCTGGAATTTCTGCTGCTGAAAGGAGCAGATATTAATGTATGTAGAAAATATTGTCATTCTAGAAAAAATTTCTGTTAATATGCTTTGTGTAATTGTTTTCTATAGATTGTAAAATATTTATTTGTAGAAACCTAATTTTCAATAGGAATATGGTCTGAAATTATACCAAATTTTCTGTAGCTTAGAAATACATAGCTCGGGTTTATAAAAACAAGCTAAAAAACTGACTTTTTTATGCGGATAAAACTAATGATGTTTTCTCCTTTGGCTGTTTCTTTTCAAGTTCTAAAGCTTAGGGAGTTAGCACTGTCTGCGGGTAGCAAATGATTATCATGTAATAGAGCATAGGACTCTGCAGTCATAGGATAAATCTAAACTGTATTGTTGCACAGAGGTCAGTGGACAGTGGTCAGATAGGAGCCATCATCTCCTGATTCTAGCCTTTTGTAGCTTCTGCATTTCAGAGTTTTAGAAAAATGTTCAAGTAACTGTGACAGCAAGTAAGATGAACTTTTCACATTTCAGGGGCGCCATATCACCTGCCTCTTTTACCTCTTCATCAGCTATGTTCTACCTCTCTCTTTTCTTACTGGACCACATTGGCATTTCTACAGTAGTGGGAACTCAAGGCTCAGAGGGGCTAAGTAACTAACCCCCACAGTAAGTGGCAGATCCAAGATTTGAGCTAAGGGCAAAGCCCTAATCCTCTACTTTACTACATTGACTGCCAAGGAGAGACATTGCTTGTGGGCTTGGGCCTCTGGTAACGAAGAGACTAGAAGTGTGTCTCTGTGGAGTGATTTTGTATAGAAAATCAAATAGGTAAACATTGAAATTAAAATATGTTTAAGAGTCCCCAAATTAGATCTAGAAAGATGAAATGAAAAATGAATAATGTTATCTCTGTATTTATTATTTCATAGGCTCCAGATAAACATCATATTACCCCTCTTCTGTCTGCTGTCTATGAGGGTCATGTTTCCTGTGTGAAATTGCTTCTGTCAAAGGTGAGGTCAATTACTAATTTTTATTGCTTTTTCCATTATGATGTAGCTGATTAAACTATGTATTTGATTGTGAATTTATTTAAATTTCGTGTGGCAGCAGGAATAGAAAACTAGAAGGCAGTATCTAGAATTGAGATATAGAACAGTGTTACTCAAAATAACTGATCCACAAACTCTTATCAGTTCATGATGGGTAAGGAGCTTGGGCTAGACTATAGATCAACAGTCTCCTCTATTAAGATCTTTTATGAAATAAAAGTTAGCCAAAATAACCATTGTACTCAGTGATGTATAAAATGCCATTGGGAACAGTAACAGTTTGTGGACTGGTACTGGGTTCACAGACCACACTTTGAGTAGCAGTGGTTTGAAATTTGTTAAGTTTCATTTTTTGTAATACATACTGAACAAGATTATTGATGTAGTTTGCCTGTAAGTAAGGGCTCTCTGAATCGTTTTGCTTTTTTTTATTTGACTGAGATAGTGATAAATCTGAAGTTTTTAAACTTTTTTTATCTTTGCTATTATAAACTCTTACATGGAGTTCAAAACCCAGCCTCAGGAATTAACCAATTAGTTATATTAGATGGAGCCTGTAAATGTGGGAAAGCAAGAAGTCTTCATAAATATCACCAGTTACAGTATTATCACCAATATTAAACCCAAGCTTGTCATTTCATGACCATACTCTTTCTAGAAAGTGCTGTTCATAATATTTCATTTGTGATCTTAAAATAAGCCCTGCTAAAAGAAGCAAAAGAGAAATAGGAATTAAACGAGTAAATGTATATAAAAAGTATTTTTCATAATAGGCACTCAATAAATAGTACCTTTTATTATAACTAAGACTGAAGAGGATTTTATACTTCAAAGGATCAGCTTGAATAAGATATAGAGAAAATTGGAAAAACAGATAGCACATGTATCTCTTAACACTTTATTGACATCTTTTAAAGATATTCTAAAAGCAGTTAATTCAGGCCCTATTCAACTAGAGGTTTTTTCCTACCCATAGCTTCATGTTAACCACAATTACTGAATTTTGTTTTTTGGTTATATATCAAAAGCGGTTTTCTCACCGTACTGATAGAAATGATGCATACCTCCAAAAGCCAAAATAAGTGGAAATACTATTCTTTGCAACTAGCAGATTCAGCTTCTGTTATAGGGTGAGCTCACAGAGATTTCTAGTCACTGTCTTTCTCCTTACTGTTCATCCCACCCTTACACCCATGAAAAGACTACAAAGTACCTTTGAAAACTGCTAGATAATTTAATTCCTGGGGTAATATTTTTGCTTATTATATCAAAAACTGACTGCTACAGGCTACAAATATTGATTTGCAGTTCATGAAAGATTTATAATTTCAATATTGTATTACATTCTGTATTGCAACTAAACCCAACTCAGACAGGCTTAAACAATAAAGAATTCTTATTATATGACCCTGCAATCCCCCTACTGGGAATATACCCTGAAGAACACAAATCACTCTATAAAAAAAAAAAAAAAGATACCTGCACACGTATGTTTATCGCAGCATT